TTTGTATTGTTTTTGTTATGTTCTTTCTTTTGAGGTGTTTATGAAAATATTAGACGTTGGTATGTACGGGAAAGAAGAAGCGATCAGAGTTGCAATACTTCGCTTTTTCTCAAATATTTTCGCTCAGTACCGCTCCGCCTCGACGCCGTAGTCCGACCGCAGCAGAAATCAGGATAAAATATTATTTACATCTGTCATTCTTTTATTAATCTCTCTGACCAGGTCGTGACCCCAACTTTATGAATAGCAAAAGGGGAGAGAAATAAATGTGTATTTGATCAACTCCTTTGCGAGAGATGGGCGAATATGATAGTAATAAAAAATATGAATATTGATAACTGCTTCCTCCTGATTTCCCGCCTTTTTTTCCCGCTCTTTTCAAGGGGTATCAATTCAGCGTCACGCCCATTCACATTGCCATTAATATTAAAAAGCCTCATTCACGTAATTTGAATAGAAGGGGAAAAAAACTTCCCTTTTCGCCCATTAATGAAGCAAATGGTTTCGTTAAGTACATATGACCACAGCTTCTGTCCATTTAAAGGGAGGGAGAGATCTTTGAATGTCTACATGTGTTCGACAATGACCACATGAGGTTCAACAATACAATGATGTGCTGTGATACATAGATTTTTCGAGTTAGATGAGAATTGAAGGGGATGTGTTGGTGTTTATTGCCATACGGGTAATGGGAGTTCATTTATATTGCTGGTTAATGCCGGCGGTCGTTGTAATCTATTGATTGTAAGTGTAAAGCTGATATTACAGTTCTGTGATTAGTATTCAACGAAAGATTATTTTCGTAAAGCCGTAACAGATGTTAGGATGGAATTTATAATGTTCGTGCTTTGGGTTATTTAGATTTAATAATACCCATAAGGTTCAAAAAATCTTGTAAAATAGGTGAATCTATTTTGCGAGTCCATTTTGCAGATGAATATAAATCAAAGGCTAAAAAACGAGTCTCGCATCTTCAGAAGTTTTCGTCGCAATCTAGGCCCGCGCGCTAGCCGACCTTCTTTTCTTTCCGCAATACTACTAAGACAAGTTGATCTTAAAAAGGAACTCTTCTCCAATCCTATAATATATCTTATAGTAGGCATATTGTTCTCCCTAATATAACACATAGTATCGTGTATTAGAATCCTCACCTTCTGCTAAGTGGGCTGCTGGAGGTCACTTGTAATTACACACACATAACACACAAACGTCCGCGCCGAGCTGGAATCTTTCACCGTGAATGGTATAAGTCTCTCTGTGTGTGTACTCGCGTCGTGTCTTCCTGTTACAAAATATAAGTTTGCCCGCATAATTCCACATAATTATAAGGCATGAGGCGGTACATTTGATGGCCTGTACAGATCGTGTACGTATACATACATACACCATATATAGTGTATACTATGTATATATATAGTATATATATAGTACATGTTATATTATGATATATTCTATATGATACTACTATATGTGGCGTATTATTATACAGTCTATAGCATACCAGTATATATAATGTATTTATATATGTATATATATATATATCTAGTATTATACTATATATATATATTATATTTGTGTGTGTGTGGTGTAGGTATGTGTGTTGTGTGCTGATCTGCCGGCCGCCAATTTATAGTGTGTCGTGTGATTTGCTTGTGTTTTCGTTATGTTATATATGGGTATATATACATATATGCATATATTATATATGTGTGTGCTGTGTGATGTGTGTTGTGCGCTGCGTTGTGTGGTGTGTGTCGTTGCATATGTATGCCATTATTCGTTTATAAACTAGTGATAGTATAGATTGTAAATACTTAAACACCTATAGCTAGTATAACAATACTCATACTTATACATAATTGAAATAACTATATATGTGTTATACACCACATCACACACACTTAATTCTTTCCCGCGTCTGTACCTCCCCCACGACAACATGGAACTGTTAAGAGGCCGCGCCACTTCGCAGTCATCTCTGCTTCCGGATTCATGCAGCGATTGGATTCGAACTCCAGCATATCCCTTCAACAACACACACACATACCACACACACACACATACACACATATATAAATATTATATATACTATATATTTATTTATTTAATGTATATAGCTATTACTGATTATGTTATATATATATATATATAGTATATATATAGTAACTACTATTATATATATGATATATAGTGTGTGTCCTTGTATGTATGTTGTGGTCTTATTTCATTGTACTCTGTTCCTTCGTACGTTGCCTCGCGTTTCTCGCTCTTATATTTCTTTTATTGTCGTCCTCATGTGACCTGTTTAGGAACTTCTTGTAAGAATACGGAAGGTGATACTTTCTCTTTTTATCGTTCTGTGTTTTGGTTAGAGTTTATATGTATACACATTACGCAGACATGGACGTATAAATTATGAATATTATGATAAGTGTATTATACATACATTTACCGTTACTATATGTATATATATGCTATTATATACATGATATTATATATATATATAATATATTATATATAAGCTAATAAATACTTATATATATATTATAGTGGGTGTGTATAATATATGCTAACTGTTTCATATAGCTATTATAGACTCCTATATTATATATACTTACTTAATATATAATATTAATGATATAGACTACTATATATCTATATATAGGATAATCTATAATAATATTAACTATAGGACTCATATATATAGTATTTATTCAGCTAATAGTGACTATTATGCATTACCTATATAATAGTACAATATATATTACTATTATATTATATATTTATACTATATAATAAATTTATATATGTATATTATATGATATACTACTACAATAATATATATACATTTACACAGCACTACCACTACGACCTAACTAACAACCCCACCCTCCCCACGCTGCGGCCGGCAGGGACGGATTCCAAGAACAAGACCGTCGTGATAAATCCCGGTGCGATTTCTCGCGTCGGGCGGAATCGGCGTGAAAATCCAGTCCTTTGAGGGCGCTCACGACAGAGAGTATTCCTCATCCGCCGCTGACGCATCTTGCTCCAGTGAGTAGCGTAAAAGCCCGTGGTACTCTTGCGCACGTATACCAGACACTGCCCGTCTGTGGTGGCCCGGGGGTGGGCGGGTGGGTGTGGCGTGCCGGGGGTGTCATGTTGTGTAGTGTTTGGGCAACGGCTATGGTTGGTGGGGGGGGTGTATGTGTGTCTGTCCGTGCTTGTGGGGTGTGGGGTCTGGCTCGAGCTTGGCTTCTCTAAAACCCCCGCGTGTGTGTGGTGTGTGCGTTTGTGTGTGTGCGGTGTGTGTCGGTTTGTGGGAGGGGGGTGTAAGTGTTTTGTGTGTGTATGCTGAGTCTTCTCTGTGTGTGTGTCGTCGTGTTTGTAGTGTGTTGTGTCGTCTCGCTATCCACTGAAAAACTGTGACCATGTGTACACTGGTTCGACTTACCACTGCTGCACATGAATTATAGAAAGCAGGGATCTTCGACTACCAATTCACTGGGCAAGGACACACGATATCTTGAAGAAAAAATTGTGCATGGAAAAAAAGAGACATGAAGGAAATGACAAAAAATCAGCGCAATAAGAGAGACGAAACAAAAGAACGAATATAGTCATCCTTTGTACCTTGATCGTAGTATTATATATACAATATAACTATATAGTAATATATATATATATATATAAGATATAGTAGTATATATGCATATATGTAATATTTCATATGCTATAAATATATAATATATTTATGTATACATATATCGTATACTATTATATATCTATTTCACTCAATATATATATATTATATATACATATATATATTATATATATATATATATATATATATTATATATATATATATAGTGTTGGTCTAATTGAATGTGTGTGTTATATATACATATATATATATAATATAATATATATATTATAATTATAATATTATATATATATATATGTATTAAAGTAAACACATATGTATATAACATATTATATTATTATATATATATATATAATATATATATATATTATTTATATAATATTAATTTAAATATATATATATATATTATAAATATATATATATAATATTATATATATATAATTATATATAATATAATATAATATATATATACAATATATATAGTATATATATATATATATATATATATATATATATTAATATATATATATAATATTATATATATATATATATATATATAATATATATATATATACTATATAATATATATTATATGTTATATACATATAGATATGTATATTATATATATATATTAATATATATTATATATATATATATATATATATTATATATATATATACATAAATACATATACATTCTATAATACATAATAATACATATACATTCTATATATTAATACATATACATTCTATATAATAATGTATATATATATATATATATATATATATATAATAGTATATATATGTGTGTGTGTGTGTGTTGCTGTGTGTGTGCTGGTGTGTGTGTAGTGTTGCTGCTGTGTGTGTGTGTGTTGTGTGTGTTTTGTGTGCACACGCACAGTCACACCACACACTACGCAAAGCAAACACAGATATTATATATATATTATATATATATATTATAAATATATATATATATATATATATACATTCACACATATTGAGTGTGCGTGTCTTTGCATACGCATATATGCAAATGCGTCACAAAATCGACCTCAGCGCCAACGACAGAAATACAAAACCGCAAAAACACGACGAAACAATCACCAAGAAAGAAAATTGCTTAAATACACGAGTGATTCCCGAGGCCGCGACCTCTGTTATTATCAATTCGTTTTCATTCCGACGTGAAGGAGAAGCAAAGAAAAGTAAAAAGAGGAAAAAAAGGTAATGCATTTGCGAGATTCATTTGGATTAGGGCGAAGTGCGTCGAAGAAAATGAAGGAAAGAAAAAATTCTGTTGAAGAACAGGGCATGCAACATTTGTGATGTGTGTA